CGGTTGCACGAGATAGAAGTTGGCACTACGAACATTGAAAGATGGCTTTGCTAAAATATCTAAAAAATTAGCCAAATACAGACCTGAAAATAATTTTGTTGGACTATCAAAATAATTATGTAGGACGCTCAAACTAGTTGCTAGAATATCAAATCTTTTTGCAACATCGTTCATGATACTTGAAATGCCTATGTAGTTGTTTGGATGGTCTATCAAAGTTATTTTCAGACTTTTATATAACTAAATTTTTTAGACATTTTAATAAAATCGTTCTTTCTGTGCAGTGCCGCCTGTATACGTTGCTGAAGAGGACCCTAAATAAAAATTAAATCTATTGGCTATGTCATTAGGGAATTCGATTACTTGAATTACTCTGCACAATGTAAAATCTATATTAGATTAGAAATTGAGGTTAATGGTAAATTCAGTTACTCGCACTATACTAGATTAGTACATATTAAGGATTGCTTTATATAAAGTATCTAAATGTAGTAGCAAATTTTTGTCAATAAAATAATACATGTATAATCCTGTTAAATAACGGAACAATATTATTAGGCATTTAATTCTTTTAAATATTTATATGCTTTTACGTTTAATTTTGCTAATTTGATGTATAATAGCTTTTATTTAGTTTGTACTAATCTAGTGTAATGCGAATGGCTCAATTTGTTATAAGATTGGATTGGAATTTAACCAATCGAAAGAAAGAAAATCAATCTTAGATTTAGTTTTCCTTTGATTGCTTAAATTTCAATCCAATCTCCAATTCTAGGATCTACTTAACGTTGCAAATGCTTCGAAAGATTTTTTTAATTGGTCAATTCATAAAATTCTTTCTTTTGATTGATCAACGAAGCGTTTGCAGAGTTAATTGAATCGCACTCTTAGTCTACGGGCATAAGATCACTTTAAACCTGTTCGTGTTGCTTGAAATTTCTAGAAATTTTATACCTAAAAGTCGACAGGAGATACTTATGTGTTGACTGCCGAGGAGTCGCGATTTTGTGAATACTAATTATCAATTAGCTGAAAATTAATCTTTCCGAGAGGGAGATTGCAATCTTCGGTTAATTGGTCTTTATGAAAACAATGAGAAATTGCGAAACGTGTCTTTCACATCTCCACGTAACTATGATTCGTGTCTCCCGAAGATAAGAAAATAATTAAACGGTCTTATGTAATAGAATATGTAATCCATAACCTAAGAAATTATTCGCAATAATTATACGTCGCCAATTTTGAGTTGTAATAGTGTCGGTATCACTGGCATCAATATATGGTACTGCATACAACGGTTTCCTTGCAAGTGTTTCTCCGACACCGGTTGTCCTTTCTCAGCGAGGTATAATAAACTATTGCGTCACCGTGACTTAAAGAGACTCCCACCTTACTCGTACTAAATTCAGTTGCAGTTTGCCGTATTCTGCAAAGTTAAATGGCTAATGTTTCTTTGCTGGTAATAAGACACGCGTATACAGACAATATTTTGGAGCGCTTGTAGAGAAAACAACAATTAGACGTAGACGTTCACAGCGATGCTTGACAGCACTATTTTCAAAGTGCATTGTCAGACGAATCCTTTTCGATCGCACAGGACCGTTATTCGAATCAACGGTTCTCTTCTCGATCAATATTCTGTATCACTCGGTCGTGCTGCTCAGGTTCGTCGATCGAATCGACGAAAACGTCGAGACGCGGTGAGAATGGCACGAAGCGTATCGTCACTCGCATCGTTCGCAAGACTACGACTCTGACACGCGGCGAGGAGCGTAGCGCTACCGAGGATCTCACCAAACGTGCCCATCCTAGATACTTGCAAGATGCTAGCTCGGCGACGATGACCGTAAGCCGGCATGTCCCAACGAAACCGAAAACTGTGCGGGTAAGCCGATCTTGCGTGGAAAATTGCATTCTGAACAATTCCATCTTTTATTCCTACTTCCATCAATGTAGATTAACTTTAATCTCAGTTCAACTTACTCTTCATCTTTTTTCAGTTCTAAGAGTTAGAGAAAAATGAAAATTAAGTTGAACCAAGATTAAAGTTAATTTACATCGGTGGAAACGGACATTACACGGAAAGAACGATGAAGAGGTTCTTCAACGATTAAAGCATTTAGCTAGATACGAATTTGAAAATGATTTTGTTTGGACTCAAAATTTGGAATCAAAATTGTTCTGTCGGTGCATGGATACTCATATCGAATTATATTTTAAAAATAGACTCCCGCCGTCTAAAAATTAACAGCAAAAATTTTTATATTTCTGTGCGAATTTTATTCAAACAACAAAAAACAGTTCTGCACAAACTTTATCTTGTTTTAATGGAAATCTTATGACGGTAGTAAAAAGATAAAAAGTTATGCATTGACAGAAGGAATAATTATGTAGGACGTTGAAACTAGTTACTAGAATATTAAAATTTTTAGCAGAGTATTTAACAGCATTACCATCATCGCTTAAGCACTCTATATACATATAATTACTTTAATGATTCAACAAAATTATATTCAAATCTGCATTTAGCTAAATTTTTAAATACTTCAGTAAGACTGTTCTCTCCGTATCTTATTAAAGCGCTGTCATATTAAAGAAGATGAATATCGACAATTGATAAATCGAGCTGTATATCATTGAAGAGTATCTTCGAAGACTGACAGACACCTAGCGCATATGTTCATGGCTAAAGATAAGCCAAGCATGGTGATAGACATTTCAAACAGCAGAGAGATTTGCGTTGAAACTCGTGGAAGCGTCCGACTTAACTCTCGTCCGAAAGAAGCGTTCTCTCTCCCATCGCAACGGATGCATCGCCTTAATTAGGATAAGATACGCTCGTTTCGGTCTCGTAGCTTCATTACCGTTTTACTTAATTCGCTATTTCGCTCCTGCAATTAACCCGCGAAGGAGACAGTACTTTTTCGCACCCAAGCTGTGGTTCTATCGTGTTAGTCGACGGCATGAAGAATGAAACTCTGCGAAAAAAGTGGTTTCTACTTATTTGTCGTTACCGCTTTCGACGTTACTCAATCGTGACGGACGAGATTTGCCAAATGTTTTTAAGACTGGAACCGCGTCGTATATCGCCGATAATATAATGTTTCTTGTACGTGTGCTTCGGTATTTCGTCCAATATTCGATAAATCAAATTACTTGACGATCAAATGATTTATGTTTGAGTATCCTCCTTGCAACCTGTTGCTGCAAATTGCGTAGGCTGGGAAAACAGATGGCATGGCCGCGGGGACGGCCCATCCAAATAGCGCATATTCCGTACGCGCGAGAGAACCGCGTGATGACCCGAATACTAATGCCGGCTTTTATCAATGCCAATGGCAACGATCTCAAATGGTCGCGATCTCGATTTAAGTCTCGGTGCCAATGTCAAGTCCACTGCAAGTGGTATAATTTGTCTCTATTATTTCACTACTTGAGCGAGTTTGGTAGCCAGCCAGGCGAATGAAGTGCTTTCATCGTTAAACGTCCAGGAGAGATGAAGTATGAAGTGTCTCATAAATATCGCGGTTATGAGAATTGTTTCTGCATAATCACGCACACAACTTGAGATCTTTTAAAAATTAACAAAGAAAAACAAGAAGGCCGAACGAAGGAGGCCATATTTAAAGCGAGTCTTGATGCCTAATAATATTTTTGTGTGACTTACAATTTTCAGTTTAAGCTAACTACAAAAAAAATATGAATAAGGCGTGGCTAAAAATAGGAGAATAAAGCTTATTGGAATTTGCGTCTTTATTATTAAAATAATATCTTCTGAATGATTTTATTTATAACAACTGCGTCGATAGACAATTTTATGAGCCGATATTTTTACATACGTTAAAATGTAAGCAAATTGAGTTTTGGTTCAATGAACTTAACGTAAACGTAAAAATACGTTAGGTAACAACAGCACGTAATTTCTGATAATTTAAATGTATGTAAGCCGGAAAATACAGGAAGATCTTTACTGGAGCGATATAATATCTATACATGAGATAAGATAACCCTTTCAGTTGTGACGTGAGAACTCGATTTCTTATCCCGAAATAGACAAGAAGATACTTTTACGTGACGCAGCGTTTCGTGTTTTTAGAATTATTTTGTTAATGGTTGAATCATTGTATTACTGAAATAAAATTAATGAATAACGCGATAACTAAAGACTTAAAAAAAGGATAAAGAATAAAAAAAATTAAAATATAAATGCATTGTTCGATACGGATTTTAGTGATGTGATAAAACAATTTCACTTACATATTCATTTTCAGTGACAAAAAATCTGTAAGAATCACTTTTTCATGATCTAGAAAAAGTTTAAATTCGTCGGATAGTGATATTACTTTATAACCGATATTTGTATAGTCGATTTTTGTATTTAAGACTGTTTTAAGTACAATCTTAAGCTGTTATGAACCAATCAGAGAGTTGTATTAGCATTTTAAGACATTACACTTAAGACGGTCTTGAAATAAGAATGGACTATGAATACCGGTCTAAAATCGATTAATTCTGTGACCAATGTTCTCCCGGCGCCGGTCGCTAAGCAAAATGTCAATAGTTCTTGAAAGGTTGCAGCTTTCAGTTTCCATCAACGTTCAACCGAGAAAATAGAACTATGGAAGGTTGCAAATAGGCATTACATAACGCGCACAATTTTAAGTCAAACCGGTATGTAGTACCGATACGTAGCTTTCAAATGTAGCAGTATATGTTCATCGAGTGTTACTAATTAAAGGTTTTAAAGACTGCTATTCTTCAAGAATTTCCCGCTTTAGCTTGAATGATCATAGCGAACATAATACCGTAACTGTCTCCGCTATTTGTTGCAACAGCGGCACCCGAAACATCATAATATGAAATGATACATCGAAGGGCGAACCAGAATTTATTTCTATGTCGTATATTAAAAAAAATATTTATTTTATTATTACATTTTAAGAAAATATTGTATATCTTCAAGAAAATCTAATCTCATTCTTTTCTTTCTATTTTTCTAGATATCGGACATTGTGGTTGGTCAGGAACCGAACGTAACGGCGCGTGAGGCCCTTCTGAGATGGGCTCGACGATCAACAGCCCGATATCCTGGAGTACGGGTGACCGATTTCACCTGTTCCTGGAGGGACGGTTTGGCTTTCAGTGCTCTTCTCCACAGGAACCGGCCGGATCTGGTCGATTGGAGAACGGCGCGTGCAAGCCAGCCGCGAGAGCGGCTCGATCGGGTCTTTTTCGTCGCCGAGCGCGAGTACGGCGTTACCAGGCTTCTCGATCCAGAAGGTAACGACCGATTATCGATTCAGTTAAGCCCTAATTGTCTCTATAAAAAAAAATATAAATCGTCAAGAATAAGTCAATTAACAGAAATAATTATACTTTTGGTCAAAGGGAAAAATTGTCAATTTGTAGTCGACCAGCGACTGGTCGTTACCCTGATCGTGATTTGTGCATTGTGTAAATTTGAAGTAAAGGAATACTGGGATATGTGTTTGTGTCACAAGTTTTTTTTTATCGTCGCGTTATCTTGGGCCGCTTTTGCGGTTTCTCATCTTACAAAGACGCCTTTCACGGATACAATCTTACCTGGGTTTCTCTCGTTTATGTATGCCCGGTGCGTGATATACAGTTCCCGCGGGTTCTGGCGTAGTGGCGATGTGCGTTCTTTCTGGTCACGGTTACCTGACCAGAATCGCTTCCGGTCTCGGTTCGTACACCGTAACGTCGCGCCATCGGTAGTCGTCGTAATTATGCTTTCTATACTTGCGTCTTGCAGGTATATCTGACATTGGTATCAGGTTGCAAGGAAAAACGAAACGTATCTGCGGATAATATATCCATACTGAAAAAAAAGATTGGCTGCTGCAGCAAATTAGATGGTAAAATATGGCATAGCATTTTTAATTGGCTAATGCAACCAAAAATTGGCTGCTGCAGCCAATTAAAAATGCTATGCCATATTTTACTATCTAATTTGCTGCAGCAACCAATCTTTTTTTTTCAGTGCATAATTCGATACGATTTGGATAGATTTCTTCAGTAGAGATGGATAATTAACATCCGGAATTTTAATATTTTTATCATTAATTTATTAGCGTTGATAATAAAATCACTTTTGTTTTAAGATAGTATTAAAAGATGATAAATTTAGAATTTAACTTTTGATTATAGCAGCGAGTCATTTGAAACCGAAGCGAAAATTTTTGGATGATTGTACAATCCATGATTAGTATTATGAGGTTCTAAATCGTATAGGTAAAAATACTTTGAACCTTCTTCTATCAATCGCTGTAAGACTCATTTGCATTCCGAAGTTTACTCGCATTTTGTATTTCAAACAGCTTTAAAACTTACATGTATCTAATTTTCATAGTTTAGATGTAGTTTTCTTAGCTGTAGTTAAGGGGGTTAATTTCAAGAAGATTAGAAATAATTTATTACACTCGCATACGTCGCGTAAGTTACGCAAACATTCTTTTATATCCTGCGCAGATGTTGATACCCCCGAACCGGACGAGAAGTCCTTGATAACGTACATCTCTTCGCTCTACGACGTGTTCCCGGAGCCGCCGGCCATTCACCCTCTGTACGACGCCGAGGCGCAAAGACGGTCCGCGGAATATCGTGAGCTTGCAAGTTCGCTTCATATGTGGATCCGCGAAAAAATGGCCCTCATGCAAGAGCGATCTTTCCCGCCGACTCTGATCGAGATGAAGAAATTAGCGGCGGATAGTACGAAGTTCAAGAACGAGGAGGTACCGCCACGATACAGGGACAAACAAAGATTGACGTACATCTTCCGAGACTTGCAAAAGTATTTCGAAGCGGTTGGCGAAGTGGACATGGAACCAGAATTACATATTGATGTCATCGAAAAGAATTGGAATCGCTTAATAATGTTGCATCAGGAGCGCGAACAGGCTATTATAGACGAAATTAAACGGTGAGTTTAATTATTGTAATATGGATTAAGTATGTATGTATATAAACAGTATGAAACGCATATATCGTACATTTATCTGATAGAAACAGTAATACAATTAAAAAAATTTTTGAGATAATAATAGGAAAAATCACCTCTCTATTCTTTGTTGGAAAAATACGCACAAAACATTTATAACTCTCCCAATTTACCGTTAGAGATATTATATGCATAGTCATATATTTCTGAATGTGTTTTTGTACGTTGACAGACTCGAGCGACTGCAACGACTCGCCGAGAAAGTGCATCGTGAGATGAAAACGACTGACAACAGATTAGAGGAGCTCGAGAGACGTGTGGAGGACGAAGCACGCAGGCTCGATCGTCTTCATCCTTTGGAGGCGAAACACGCGGTGGACCTGCTGGAACAGGACATACGCAGTACGGAAACTCAGATACAGAATATATTTACCGATGTGCACACCCTTACGGAGGGTAGATACAGTCAGGCGCCCGAGCTTCATAAGAGGTAAAATATTGATTTTTATCTTGGAATTAAGATAAATTAAAATTTCATACTCTGCACTGAGAAAAAATGTACTAAATTTTAATAAATATTTATTTGAATAGTACTAACTTAATATTTACTAAATAAAAAAATAATTAAATCACATACATTGGTTTTTGTAACAAAAAATAAGTATGTTTATTTTTAGTAAATATTCAGCTAGTACTATTCAAAATAATATTTATAAAAATTTAATACCTTTTTCCTCAGTATGGAATATCGATATGTAAAGAATGTGTAACGTGCATGCCGCCTCCGTTTTTGAATACTAATTACTTTGTTTCCACTCTCGTAATCTTCGCTAATGAGTAAAATATTAGCGCGCTTTCCATCGCCGGTAGCTTTCGAAAATCAAGTTATGCACGTATCATGTTTAGTGACTTTCCAAAGATCTTGGAACATGTTTGAATATCTTATTAAACTTGACGAGATGGCTTTTATCCAAGTTTAGCACATCTTGACATATCTTTAAAATAACTAAATAGTTAATAACGTTTGTTGGTACAATATTAAATAACGCTTTAAGATAAAATAATTTAATTTAATGTGACACTTGTTGATAAAACATACGTCTATTTGTTTCAGAGTACAGAAATTGCATCAAAGATGGGTTGTACTACGATCTCTCCTGCATAGGCGTCTGGTACAACCTCTCTCTGCGGTTTCCTTCCCTGTGGAGGAACGTGTTGTCACGAAGCATCGCACTACCGTCCATGAAACACGATTGGTTGATACCAATCCACACTTCCGCGCGTTACACGATTGCATAGATTGGTGTAAGAGCAAATTGAAGCATCTACAAGAAGCTGATTACGGATCAGACTTGCCTAGCGTGCAAAATGAATTGGATGTACATCAACGAGAGCACAAAAACATCGATCAGTTCAAAGCCAAGGTCGACAAGTGCGTGCAGGCAAAGAACAATTTCCATGGCGAGGAACTCACGTTGTACAGCCAGCATCTTAACACTCTGCAGAAACTTTATGCCGAGCTTCTTAACGTATCGAGTAAGAGACTTTCTGATTTGGATACCCTGCACGATTTTATACAATCGGCTACTGGCGAATTGGTTTGGTTGAACGCCAAAGAGGAAACAGAAGTTACGCGCGATTGGAGCGACAAGAATCTCAATGTGCAGAACATCGAGCAATATTACGAGGTTAGTCATTATCGAGCAACTTTTTTTTTTAGAGAAGTGATGAAAGTCCATTTTGCGGTTTCTAAGATTTATAAACTGATATTATAATGTAATCATATCTGCGTTGTTTTTACAATATGTAGTACATGTCTCTTATTTAGTTGAATTGGATTAATAAATTGAAAATTTCTTCTTTTTGTGAAGCAAACATATGGATCTGGTGTAGAGGTAAAATATTCAATGAAAACACTTATATTTTTTATTCTGATTTAATGGTTAATTTTATTAAATATTCTTATTTCAATCTTTAATTATTATAAATGTATCTACGTATTTATAGATTTGAATATTTTTTAATAAATTTAATATTTTACATAAATAATAAGATATTTTATTTATTTGCAGTCTTTGATGAGCGATTTAGAGAAACGTGAGATACAATTTTCGGCAGTGCAAGATCGTGGTGAGGCGCTTGTCCTTCAGCATCATCCTGCGGCGAAAACGATCGAAGCTTACATGTCCGCGATGCAAACTCAATGGGCCTGGTTATTACAACTCACTCTCTGCCTTGAAGTACATCTGAGACACGCCGCGCAAAACCAACAATTTTTCAAAGACATTCAGCAAGCCGAACAGTGGATTTCTAAGCAAGATGAAACACTGAATACCATTTACTCGCAATCCGATTTCTCATTGGATGAGGGAGAGCGGCTTCTGAAGGGCATGCAAGAGTTGCGCGAGGAGCTTAATAATTATGGTGATCACGTACAGAGACTCGTGGAGAGAGCAAAGGACATCGTTCCTATGAAGCAACGCAAACAACCAGTTATGCGACCGTTACAGGTCACTTGTATCTGTACCTACAAACAAGTCAATGTGAGTATTTCTTAATGCGGAGAAGTAGAATGTACTGTATTTAAATATATATATTTCTTATTTATTTCATCTATGTAGATGTCCATCGAGAAAGGAGAACAATGTACGCTGTACGATAATTCCGGCAGAGTTAAATGGCGCGTCAAGAACACGCAGGGAGTGGAATCTCCTGTACCAGGTGTCTGCTTCGCGCTGCAACCTCCCGATAAGGAAGCATTGGAGGCTGCGGAAAGATTGAGACGACAATATGACAGAAGTGTTGCTCTCTGGCAACGAAAACAATTGAGACTAAGACAAAACATGATATTCGCGACTATCAAGGTAGTCAAGGGTTGGGATCTGCCGCAATTCTTGGCGATGGGACAGGATCAACGTACAGCTATCAGAAAAGCGCTGAATGAAGATGCAGATAAGTTACTATCCGAAGGAGATCCGGCGGATCCACAACTCAGGAGATTGAAACGCGAGATGGCGGATGTTAATCGACTGTTCGACGATTTCGAGAAGCGCGCCAGAGCCGAGGAAGAATCGAAAAATGCCGGACGCATTTTCAACGATCAAGCGTCTTCGCTTCAGCAGGCACTCGACGAAGCCGAGCGAGTACTGAACGCGCGCATAGCCGCGCCCTTACCTCGAGATCTGGATAGCTTGGAACATCTCGTATTGCAGCACAAAGACTACGAGCAGAATCTGCAACGCTTGGCGCCGGACGTGGAACAAATGCAACAGACGTTCCGCGGAATTACTCTGAAGACTCCGGCGATGAGAAATAAACTCGATAATATCACGAGCAAATGGAGTCACTTATGGAACCTGAGCAGCTTGTATGTTGAGCGCTTGAAGTGTGTCGAGATTGTGCTGTCCAGCCTCGAAGAAAACACGACGGCAATCTCCGAGTTTGAGATTAAATTGGCCTCCTTTGGCGAGTTACCATCGGATGTAAAGGGTTTGCAAAGCGTGTTGGAAGATCTGATGGTTCTTCAGAATGCAATCGCACAGCAACAAGTGTCAGTAGATCAATTGAATGAAGATGCGCATAACGCCAGGCGTCTTGTAGAGAAATCAAGGCCGAATCATCGAGGTCCGCACGGCGACATGGACAGATTGGACGCTGAGGTTAACAAACTAAACGCGCGATGGACGAACGTCTGCGGGCAGCTGGTCGACAGACTGCGTAGTGCCGAAACAGCCTACGGATTGGCGCAGCAGTATCAAAACTCGTATCAAAACGAGGTGGACTTTGTCGATGAATCATACGGAAAATTAGAGCTGGAGAACACGAAGGTAGCGTGAACGATTTCGACAATTTCGTGCTACTCTTATCAATGAGATCGTTAAAATAAATTTTTATGGATTCAGAACCTGTTGAGCAAGGTGTTGGATCGCACGCCGGCAATCGAAGCGGTGAATCTCACGGGCGGTAGATTGATCCGTGAAGGGAAGGTGAGAACACGCGGATCGTAATGTATAATTCGGTGCTAGTAAGCCTTATAGGTAGCTTACGGTGTGAATGCTTGCATGAATGGAATTCTGCGTGTGTCTTACATACAGGTCTCATCACAATCTGTTGTATGCGCCTCGAGGTTTTCAGAAATTATGCACGCGACGAATCTTGTTTTCATTTAGCGTTTCGTCGGAGTGGCCGCTTTTTCTGGAGTATCGAGCGAGCAGTCGCAAGACGCATCAAGACGCGTTGCGTCTGCTGTATATAAACATGAACGTTCCTTTACAGTCAAATTTGTGCTGCTGCCTTTTTCCACCGTCTTCTCGGGGATGTGTCTCGTCAATTTCATAACGGTAAAAATTCTCTATTTGCGTCCGGGCCCAGTGCCATTAAACGGCACAAACCATCTTAACCGCCATTCATTAAGTAAATATACTCACTTATGTAACGCAGCGGGGACGATACGATCTACAGGCAGCGCATTTGTAATATCACTGGCCTTTCTCTCCTTTTTAACTTCAATAGCAACCTTCTCGTTAACACAGTTACATCAAAAGCACGGTTGAATGAGCTGCACGACCTCGTTTAGCGGCGATTTAGTATCGATTTTTGTAACTGTTAGATATTGCATATCGCTTAAGTGCTTAACATAATATAATTGATATTTCTCTGAACCGTTGCAATCGCAGATAACCCAGTGAGGTATAGCATGCGCAGCAGCGAGGTGGAATCTGACCGATTAATACGTAGGGAAGTTCGCGAAGGTACATAACGAGTACTTCTAATTATATTTCGGCACGAATTAGGCATATTCCTGCTCTTTACCAATATTAATTGCAGCGCGATTTCATTAATCGCTGCTTATCCTTAGCACGACTATGAAGTAGTCCCGAAATTATTCCAAACGCGTTTAGACTAACGTACTACCCACGAGAGTAACCGGCAGCTACCATTAACGCATCTGTTTACCGGAAGTACCACATTGGGTTGTCGAAAAATCAGAAAGATCGCGGCGTAAACCGCGCGGTAAAACCGCGCGCGATGGTCTCAACGCCTCGTCTCTCGCTGTTGCTTTCGGAATCGCTAACGGTAATTGCCGCGCACACACACACCGATCTAATTACACTAACCATAACGGACTAACCGGAAACCCTTAGATTTACGGACAAAGGCTCCGAGCGTTCAAAGAACAATTGGAAGATATCTGCCCGTCGTTGGACGCATCGGTGAAGAGGCCACGGAGAGATTCCGTTATTACGGTCGATAATGTTGCGCGCGATCTAGATACCCTGAACCGAAGATACACGACCCTCGTGAATCTGCTTGAGGAACGAGTTAGGCAGCTGGCACTACTACATCCTCAGGACACTTCCTTACAGGTGAGTTTTTGCATTGTTTTTCTTCTGCGATCTTGAGATTGCATCTCTGATAGTAGACTGTATATGTTTCTGGTAGAAATAAATATGAGCAATATCTTGGATTCTTTGAGAGAAAGAAAATAACAATTCCTTAAGACTTCTATTTACTCACCACTACTATCTCAGATTATGACATCATAATCGAGAAAATATACAATAAAAGTTCTTGCAAACTAGAATATATGTAACACATACGTATATATTACATAATGTGGAAATAAATTATGCATAAATAAAAACAAAATAAGCTATGTTTACAATTGTGACAAACTTAAAGTAATAATATATATAGAAACAAATATGTTGTAATTTCTCTCCGGAACAAGAAAATGGTTTTCAATAGTTTTCGTGTATTATAAATCTATTCTATTGATTGCAAATGTTGTTTTATTAAAAAATATTTTTATTCAAATATTATTTGCAAGAATTTTTATTGCGTGTTTTCTCACGTTTGATGTCACAATCTAAGATAATAATGATGAGTGAATAAGAACCTTAATACGTCGTTCGATATTTTTTTTTAATTTCCATTCGTTATATAGGATAAATTATTCATTGGAGTTGTTCTCCAGGAGAACATAACATAATCCGACGTATATAATTTTTTGATCACTTATTGAGCAATTGAGACAACTTAAAGGGCCGCAGGCGAAGTGCCGCTGGATATTTTAGATTAGATTTAACCTTCGCCACGTGTGCTATGTCGAAATGTGAACGGAATTAATACCGAACTATGGCAAGGCCTACAATTTGCATTGATGGGCATACATCGAATACAATCCGCGAAGTAGATCCACTATTAAATCCTTGATCGTAACACTTTGATGTTTGGTGAACGGCTCATCATCGCGCGATAACGAATTAGAACCATTTCTAATCACGCGAAGGTGATTTGCTACGTCAAAGTTGCTTGGGATACGAATTCCGCATCGATCCTCGCACACAGTGAGAGAGAACGTTAATTTTCATTTAGTAAAGAAGTAGTAACGAGGTTAACGTTAGATACGACGTATGTTTTCCTATTATATTACACGTATGCAAGTAAAATATTTTTTAAATAGAAGATAATAAATGAGATATATATTGAAATAAATATTACTCATGTGAAAGATATATATACATATATATGAACATCTCATTGAGAGTATATGTGAAATAAATTTATAAGATAAATGTATGAAATATATTTACCTCAAAATGAGATAAATTTGAAATAAATTTGAGATAAATATATGAAATAAATATCGCTCATTTGCTACAACACAACTCAAAAAACGAAATTTTCCAGAAAATAAGTTTGAATATTTAAATTATTAAAATTTTGTAATATTAATTTTGAAATGCAATTTTGATATAATAATTAATTATAGAAGAATAAAATTGTTTTTTTTTCCTTTTCTTTTATATTCCCGTTCTTTTTCTACAAGAAACTCAAATTGACATTTTCTGAGTTGTGTCGCAACTGATGTCCATTTCTATCAATGTAGATCAACTTTAATCTTAGAATTTATTCTTTATCTTTTTCTAATTCTTAGAACTGGGGGAAAAGATAAAGAACAAGTTAACGAGATTAAAGTTAATCTACATTGATAGAAATAAACATGAGCAATATATGTATACATGAGATAAATGAAAGTAAAAGTGCGTTCAGTTTTCAGCATGCTCCTCGAAGGTTGCATGTGACAAATTCGATTGAAGGCACGCGTGTGGGCTTTTTGATACGAAACTAGGGAGGCGTATCCTCCGAGAAATGACTCGATCGAGATTCCTCGGCCTCGGCAACCGCGTATGTGACATAAGCTGAAATTAATGAGCGGCGATGAACGAGCGCTCTCATGTCGAGAATCCGTATGTGTGCCCACATCTCCCGCAGGTATAATTATATTCGGAATGACGACGACATCAGAAATAGCGACTATTTTTCTCGGTGCCATTACGCGCCTCGCCAGGCATCGCGTATGAGCCGGAAGGTGTGAATACATTTTTTTGTTGGTTTTTTTTTATTGCGACCGGTTCGCGTGCGTTCGTCATCGTTGTCGAGATTGCTCGCTATCACGTTTGTCACGCCGATACCTCGAGGTCGGTCGGGATCAAGCAAAGTAGTCGTTTTAACACGCGACCGACTTTTGCCTTAGTTTAACGGCGGCTTTTCATCTTTCCCGCTAGTCGTGTCGGTCTCGTGCGAGGATCGATAGACACGAAGACAGCGGCACGAAAAAGCAGTGGCGCGTTTACACCTGTTGAGGCCCCTCAATGTGTCAGACGATTATGTTAATTTAAGCTAAAAAATGAGAACGAATACGTCTGATAGGCTCGTATCAGACTATATATTAAGATTGAGATCGGCTTGGAATAATAAGTAATTAATCATCTTTCAGTATTAAATTAACTAGTATTGGATTTCTGTAAAAGCAGAGTTTGCTGATTTTACTTCCATGATTTTTTTTCGGTGTCTTCTCATCGTATTATTTTTATGAATGTCGTCTAGCGTTGATAATTAAAATTCTCAATTTTAATTTGCGATAAAGCAGTTAGAAAATATGCATTTTACAAATAAATTGCAAATTTCTGTTATGACAAGCGCCAAGATTGAACGAGAGATAAGACCATCGGTCTTTGATAATATCCTTGATTCTTAACGCATCGTTTATCGCCGCGATATAAACAATGTATTTACGACCCCGAGGAGCACTCGTGTGTGACCAGAAATATTAAACGAACTACGACCGACTCGCGTCAGATAGCATTTGCCGAAAATGCAAAATAGGTTTCTCCTTGAAAGTGAAATGAAGCCGCAGTCGAGATTACGTAATCAAAATTAATGACGGTCGTTCAGAAATCCACTCGAATCGAGCGAGGCCGATTTTTGATGACTCGAGAAGAGAGTCTCGGGGTCTTAGAACAGTTTTGAACGAACTGCCAGTTAAGCGCCCACGCTTAAACGCGCCACTGGACCGGGATGTGCGTCGGCGCCACCACTCGCGTCTTCTCCGAGGGCGAGCGTCATCGAAAGAGAGAGAGACGAATCGCCGCAGTCAGAGACTGTCGGTTGCGCGGCTGACCGTATGCTCGTCGAGCATGCTCCTCGCCGGTCGCGCAAACGATTAGAGACATCGTCGTCGTCGTGAGCGATAGAAACGCGAAAGCGATTTCGTTCCAACGTACCTCGATGAGCGATCACGATGATCGTGCGAAAGGTACGGAAGGACGGTGCATATCGCGAAGAGACGGGTGTCGCGTACTCCGGAAACGAGATACGCCGGTACTCGTTAGTGAAATCGGATACCGGCGATTTCAAACGTGTCAGAAGCAAGTGACAAATTGACAAGAGGTTGATTATGAAATAATTTTGCAGCAAGACTTGCGTCCTTTAGGATGACGCCCATGGGGTGTCGATCGAGTCACATGTTTGCAGTAATAATCGTGAAACTGTTGACTTTTGTCTATTTCTACCAATGTAAATTAACTTGGTGTAATCATGTGTGTATGGAATGTTTCTTGCCTTCTGTGGTCCTCAAAGAAGTGACGGATTAGCTTCAGATTCTCTACAAACTTAATCTGTCCAGAACTTGACACGTTTGAAATCATTTTTTATTTAATAACATATTTTATAACTTACTCTTTCATAAATGCGTTTTTTTAATAATGACACGGGAGGGGAATATTATTTTCTAAATTCTAAATAATACAACCTTATCATTCAAATGTATTCTTACACCAAGAATGATATCAAGATTATTTTTGAAGAACCCTCTAACGAACATTGCTCGTCCTTTACGATGCTCTGAATATATCTGGCGACTTTACTTACTTTTTACCATTTTATTTTCGTTAAAAATAATTGAAAGATCATTTACTTAATTCAAGTATTCGAACGTGTATTCGAATAAATGAATATCTTGTGATTGATGTTTATTATGACTACTAACATCTATTACTTTATTGCTGACATTCAAATTCATGAACTCATGTATGCTAGTTTATTGCCGACGTCTATATTTGCGCTCGGATTTCAATGCGTAATGCAAATATACGCTTATTTAGTAAAATAAATCACTAGAGAGTTATAAATTTTTATATACCTCGCCACATATATTACAAATTGAATGCTAAATGATTCGTTCTTACCTCGAAATTAAATGAAAACAGAAATATTTAACAATATTAAATAAAATACCTTTACATATATAATATATTTAAGATTAATTTTTATATATGTATTAATTCTTACATATACAGAATGCAATATTCATTAAACTTTTCGTCATCGTCCGACTCGATCGTTTCTGATTATTTACTCTTATCGGTTCACCGCTGTACAACGCGATTGATTAGGTACACCGTTCGGTGTACAAAGTAAACCATCGCACTGTACACTCATCGTATTTCTTATCGATAGCGCGATTTTATTGGACATCGAGTTTTGCAATCAGAATCTACACGAACTAAACATACGTTTGGATTCCGTACGTTGCACTGCATTATTTTTTCCGGAGTAACTTGCGTCTTTAAACTCGCCGTGCCGACGTGCCTAATAGCGGATTCTTATTTTAACGCATGTACAGAGTGACCCAGAAACAGTTCGATATATTTAAGAGTGAGAGAGAAAAAGAGGAGGGAGGGAGAGAGAGAGAGAGAGAGAGAGAGAGAGAGAGCGACGGTCTTCTAGATTGGAATTTATTTCCGTGTTTGACATTTTCGCAGATCTTTTACTCTTGATAGTTCGTTTTAACATGTTTCAGGCTCCACCAATATAAGATTAACTTTAATCTTGATTTAACTTACTGTTTATCTTTTTCCAATTCTTGGAATTAAAAAAAGATAAACAAGAAATCGAACCGAGATTATAAAATTAATCCTACATTGATGGAATCAAACTTTAATCTTCAGTTATTTAGAATTCGGAGGTTATACTGACACTCGGAAAATAAAACATCCTTTATTTCGTCATCCTTTATTTGAATTCCATTTATCGCAACAACGTAAATGCTTTTAAATGATTCTGCATGAGGAACTACATACGTGCATCACGACGACGAAATTGTCCGATATAATAAGACGCAACACTCGAAATATACCGTGTTTACATTGTCCAGCCAAGTTGAATGACTTTTTTCTTTTTAGATTAATTTTATGATATATAAATCGCGTGACAACAAAAACAAGTAAATTAATTTTTCATCAATGTAACCATGCAACTGGTAGATCGATTGCTCGAAGGTTGTCGATCACACCAATCAAATATAATTTCTCTGATTAGATTTACGATGCAAGTAAATCGATCACGGATTACTTCATGGTCATTCTTATTATTTCCTATGTTCTTTGTTAATTTTATTTTTATTGGTATGAATTGCTTCATCCGTGTAGCATGAAATTAATGTTGTTAGTCATCAAAGAGATGAAGATGTTTTGTTGACGAGTCCGAAAGATATTCGAATAGATTTTTTGTAGTAAATTACAATTTTTTATTTAAGCAATTTTGAGCAATTTTGAGTAATTTAACTTCTTTTTTTTAATTAAATGTTATCTTATATTTTATATTCAGACATTTTATATTTTGACTCAATCTTTCATGCTTCACCAATTTTCGGACTAATTTTTTGCGTATTGACTCTTACTTCGCCCTTTTTTATTGTTTTTATTTTTATATAAAGAGTCCTTCGATTTGTTTAATAATTTAACTTCCTTAATTTATCCGCACAGCAATAATTACGTCTTAAAATTCTTTCCAGATTTATAGTCAATTTGTTTTTTGTCAAATATCTATGCAGCTATTTGCGTCTTGTTTTCGATTTTGGACATAACTGCTTGATTATTATCATATGGTTGCAACAAAATTTGTTGATTATGTACATATTAATACAAAAATTTTGCATAATGTTTTCGCGCAAATGAATTATGTCTCATCGAGATTTCAAGGCTTCCGTTCTTTGTTCTTCGTTTCACATCAGATCGCACGTGTTCTCCCATGTCTTCTTGAGTTCATGAGTTGACGATGGGAAGGACAGCATCTGTCTTCGCGATGACATAAGTAGATGACGTATGGACGTCAATGACTATGAAGTATCGCGTCTGAAATTATACGTTTTGGTACTTATGATTAAGCTTCTCATTCGGAATTAGTTAATTAAAAGCAAGGCGTGCGTCGTGTCGGATAAAATTTTGCGTAAGAGCCGTACGTTCGGCGCGTGCGTGAGCAATGCTATATTTAAGAATTCCCGTCTCGGCTGAAAGATTGCGGCGAGGCACGTGGTCCAATTATATGCTGGCCGCATGTAAACTTGTGCACCGTCGCGCGGGCTGACTCATTTAAATGCATGCGGGACGTCTGTTGATGATTACAGCGTGACTGACGCGATTGTTAATCGGCTTTAAGAATCGAAGATCGACAAGTTGACCCAATTGTACCCAGTGTCTTTAGAAGGACGGCGTTTTACATTTTACATAAACAGCTTTCGCGAATAGATTCAATTAATCCAAGAATTAAATTTTATTTTAATGAAAGCTAGAGATTTAAAATAGGAAATTTTACATTAAAAGTTATTTTTTAATCATGCATTTTAGCAGAGAGTGCATTTGTTAAAGTCCATGAATTTTGAACATCACGTTCAATGTAGAAACAAATATAAACATAAACATAAAACACAAGATTAGACATATTGTATTTTCTGCAAGTGGCAAAATGTTTACTTTCAGCGTGTTCTTCAAGAACAAAGGCCACTGCGGACGTTCCGCACAGAGTTCAACATATATGAAAGCACTACTAGCGAGGAGCGTTACACATCCACAACCACACACTACACCCAGTCACAGTGAGTATGACTTGTGCTAAAAGTTGAGAGTACGGCCTATTCGTACTCACGGTAGAAAAGTGTCCTCATCTGCTACGTAGAATTCCACGATAGGAGCTTATCCTCCAATTATTTTAGATCGATATTTAAGAAATGGATTTAAGCTTTCTTACGGGATGTATGCGATTGAAGTGCGTTTCGATATGACGTTCACGCTTTTCAATGGCTCTTGCCGCAGATATACTACCGAGAGGCATGAGTCCACCGAGACGACTTTCTCGAGCGAGACTTCGAAGCGAAGTTACAATGCGGAGCAGGCCGTGTATCGTCCTAATGACGAGACCACCAGCCTGGGTGCGGTTCAACCCGTCGGCGTCGGTGATACCCTGCTCAAACGCTCGCACGAGAGCGGTACGACGAACTATGACAGGCGACAGCAGCAGCACGAGTCCGTCGTGGACGGCGGGTTTAGTAGCGAGCTTAGAGGGGTCGACGATAGGGGTAATATTAGAGAATCGGTTCACTTGATGGACGTTAAACGTATCATAGATGAGAGTACCGGCAAAGTCCTTAGCGTGCGCGAGGCGATTCGGCTCAAGATTCTCGACGTTAGGAAACTTAGGATACTGACATCGAGCGATGGCAGGACGAGCTTGTCGATCCAGGAGGCCGTGCGTGACGGTATCATCAGCGCGGAAATGGCCGATTGGCTGTTAACTCCAAACGATCGGGTGTCTATGCTCGCGGCGATGAGTGAGGAGTTCGACGAACAAGCCGACATCGCGGATCGTGTTAAGGTAACGACAGCACGTCGTGACGACGGTGGTGGAAGTGATGCCGCCACTACGGGATTTAGCGTTGTCGATGCGATGAGAAAGGGCTTATTGGACCCGGCCACGGGAGAGGTCATCGCCGAGAATGGCGAGCGGATCTCAATTGAGGAGGCATATTCACGCGGCTATCTTACTAAGGTGGACGTGACCGTTAGGGTAACTCGTAGTGCCATCGCACTCTCCGACGCAATATCGCAGGGTCTTGTGGACGATCGGACCGGCCGCATCGTCGATAGGATTACTGGCGAGTCTTATCCATTAGATGAAGCCGTCGACAAAAACATTATCGATGCGAATGTGAAAGAGATTGTGGACACGAGGAGCGACAGCAAGATGACGGTGGCCGAGGCTATGAAACACGGTATATTGAATGCCAAAAGCGGTAGATACATGCACGGCTTGTCGATGGAGAAGCTACCGTTCAAGGAAGCTCGTCGTCGGCAATTGATCGTCAAGCCGATGACGCTCAAGGACTGTTGCGATCTAGAAATTATCGATGACAAAGGCAAAATCGTCAGTCCAGCACATCGTGACAAATTAACGATATTGGAGGCCATATCACGCGGAGTCTTAGACTCGGAAAACGTCAAGTCCATAGTAGATACTCGAACCGGCGAAATGATTACGCTAGCCGACGCCTTAACCAGCGGTATAATTAAAGTTAACGGCACGTATCGCGACATGTTGAAGGATGAAAAGTTGCCTATTCCTCAAGCCGTCGAGAAAGGCCTGATCACGTCGGTGACTCAGAAAAGTATCTTCGACATCGATGGCTTCAAAGATCCAGTTTCTGGTGAATACATTAGTTTGAATGCGGCATTATTGAAAGGTCTGATCAGCTCAAAGTCCGGTGGTACTTTCACGATCGACCTGAAAACCGGAAAGACCGTTTCGCTGAACGAAGCAGAAGAACAGGGTTATATTAGGCCGGAAGTACTGGAGATGCTAAGCCGTGGCATCGGTATTACCGAGAACGGGCGCGAGACAAGCGTTCTCGAGGCTGTGCTACTCGGATTGTTAGATCCTAAGTCTGGTCAATTGTTAGATCCGCGTAGCAAGAGAATAGTGCCTTTGGAGGAGGCGATCAAGCGAGGACTCATTACTCCTGACGGTGCCGCACTGCTCACCAGTTTATTGAATATCGCAGTTACCACGCAAACTGTGACGAAGACCATCAGAAGATACGTGACGACTCTGCAAACTGGTGAAACTGTTACAAGAGATTACAAAATCAGTTATGAAGAAGCATTAAGCAGCGGTTTGATCGACGAAAGTAAAAATGAATTTAGGGATCCTGATTCAGGAGTGACGATGCCCATCGAAGACGCCTTTGAGCAAAGTTTGCTCGGTGATGACGTTCGCCAACATGTACATTCGCAAGAACGTACTTCGGATTCGTTACATACAACTTTCGAAAGTACTCTGACGACAAATATCGGTGAAGTACCTAGAAATAGAAGAAGCGAATCACCACCTAGAGCAATTGGCACGGTTACCACTATTATTACCAAAGAAATTGCTCCGCGAGCATCATCTACACCGATGAAGGAGTCATCTTCAGTTACGATGACGATCGCACCATCAGTGACGACTGATTCTGTTTCTTTTGCGCGAGATTCAACTAAAGATATTTCATCATCGACAAAAATTAGCGAATCGATCAAATGGTCGACTTCCGAAATAACATCGAAAACGAGTTCGTTCGATCAAACTCATGAAGTAAGTCATGATCTCAAATCACCTTTGCGTGATGAAAAACAAGATATGGAAGTAATCACATCAGTTACACCAACTACGAATCGCACATCAGAGATCATGAAATTCATAGAAAACGAACGTGTTTTCACGAATAAACAGGTGTTTGAACTACCCACGGATGGTTGGACACTCGCCGAAGCTATTGATAGGAAACTACTTGATTCTGTTACAGGTCTTTTCATAATTCCAGGCACCGATAGATTGGTTTCTTTCGAAGAGTGTATTAACTTGCAGATTATCAATCCGAGTTCTGGTTTTGTTATTGATCATACCAACGGAAGAAAGGTGTCATTGGTGCGAAGCTTAGAAAAGAATATTCTGGACTCTACGGGTCACTACTGTTATCCACAAAAAATCTCGATGAAAGAAGCGATCGCGAATGGATTGATCATATTGGAAGGCGAATCGAGCAAAGACAGCGATAGCACTAACCAGAGACTTCTTCAGATCACAAGAGTTTCAGGCAAGCCCGATAAAGTGGAGTTGACGCATGTTGGCGATCCTTCTCAGCAAATGGAAATAAAAGTTAGCGACGAAATGTCTATGCCGGATCCGGTGCAGGTAACTCAGGGAGTGATTTATGATCCAGGAACGGCCTTAGTAATCTCTACAAAAACCGGAAAATCTGCGAATCTCTTAGTCGCAGTTTCCGAAGGAACGATACCGTCTACTGCTGTAATCGTCAAAGATCCAACGACGGGTAAAGACATTGACATGGCGGAAGCTGTTAACCGCGGTATTCTGAATATTAATACATGCGAATATAAAATTGATGATGGCAGAAAGATATCACTGATCGATGCTGCGAAGTTCGGAGTGGTGGCTGTTCTTGGTGCTCCTCTTGCGGCCACCGCGGCCGCCATAGAAGCGGTACAGAGAACAATGGTCAAAGATCCAGTAACTGGTAAGAAAGTGCCAAGAGAAGTCGCCATTGAACGTGGCATCATTCCGATGGACGACGGTACGATGGCAACTTCACCGATTATTGAATCTGCAAGTGGTACGCCTGATGAAAATGAAAAAGTCATTGTGAAACATGTACACGATGAACCTAGAGAAGTTCGCATATCAAAAGAGGATGTTGAGAATACAACTTTGATTGATTCATTGAAATCCGCCAATGACATTAAGGATGGCGAGAGTTTAGGCACGAAGACCAGAGCGCGAGTGACGGTCGAGCCGAAGTATCAAGTTACGATTGGTAAAGCGAAAACACTGTCACAAAGTCCCGAACGAGAAGCGAAACCTATCGTTCTGCAGAAGATGCGAAAGAGGATAGTAAACGTCAAGGAAGCGTTGCAAAGTGGTTTCATCGACATGGAAACAGCAGATACCTTCGCGAAGAAAATGTGTAATGAGAAAGGGGAACCAATCACTCTTTCTGAAGCAATCCGTGACAACCGAATAGACGCCAATCAAGGTCAGATCATGGATCCACAAAGGGGCGATGTGCTTAGTATCAAGCAGGCTATCGATCGTGGAATCCTTGATCCAGAGAGCGCGCATATATTAGTACCTTTAGCAAAAAGCTTGTCCGTGCCCAGCTTGTATACGCAAGGTTTGCTAGATCCTGTGGAGGGTAAAATCGTTCATCCAGAAACAGGCGCGCATCTCACTCTCAACGAGGCTATAGTATGCGAAATAGTGGATCCTCTATCTAACTTGATGTTCACTATTGATGGCCATACGGAAACGTTGCAGTCCGCCATTGCGAACGATACTGTCGATGCAGAGAAATTATTGGTCAAAACGCAAGGCGGTAGCGTAAATCTGGTGAATGCAATAGAGAACAAAGTACTTGAGTTAAAGGGACCGGCTAAATCTTTCAATATACCGCCGGCGGGAATGACATTCCCCGTTGCATTAAAACGTGGATTGATAGACATCAGCAAGAAAGAAATACGTCATCCTATTACCGGAGAGCATTTACTACTGGAGGACGCTATAAAGAAAGATTTTATCATGGCATTACCATATCCAGTGACTCCTGACAGTATCGAAATAACGAAGGCTTTGGAATCAGGATTGATTGACAGAGACAAGGCTATATTCTTCCATCCTACTACAGGAACTCCGATTCCAATTGCCGAAGCTGTCGAGTCTGGTCTACTCATCATCAAATCGCCTCGTGATGAAAACACAGCTGCCATTACTGAAACAATTACATCGTACCACACTATTACGACCAAAACGGTTGAGCTTTTGCCAGGTTATGCGCTAAAGAATCCGACGGAAATACAAGATATCAATACCGGTAATATCATTACTATCGAAGAGGCACGACAAAGAGGTATCATTAAGGATGTATCTGAAACTAAACAGGAATTCACGACGAAAGATATCAAGATGTCCTTTGATCACGCGGTGGAAAAAGGATTCGTAGATATGAAAAAAGGAATTTATACTGATCCTTGTACCGGTACCATAATGCCTATCGCTAAAGCCGTTGAGGAAGGAATCCTCGATACTTCGTCTAGCAAGAGTGAATCCGTAACACCCAGGAAATCTCCCAATGACAGTTTGACTGTGTTAGAAGCGATCGAGCAAATTTACGACGAAAAAACTGAGACATTTAAAGATCCTGAGACGAACGAATCTTACAATTTGATGGAAGCGATGAAAGTGGGACTAATCGAACCCGATTCCGTACTTTATAATGTGAAAACTAAAGAATCTATCACTACCAAAGAGGCAGTCGAGAAAGGTTTGCTCGATCCTGCCACTGGAAAAATGAAAATTGCACGGGATCAGAAGGATCATTCGATTAGCATAGCGGAAGCTACGAAAATGGGTCTCTTGGCAGTCGTAGCCGCACCAATCTTGGCTGGAAAAGCAGTTGTTGATGCAATTTCAAGTCGCAAGTCTAAAGAGTCAAAGCCGAGTGTATCCGTGACGAAATTATCTGTTTCAGCGAAGAAAGAATCAAGTCCACCTGCAAAAATTATTTCAAGCCAAATTCAAATTACTCAGAAATCTCATGTTGATTCTCAGAGTGAAGATAAAACATCAAACTTGATAGAAATGCAGAAACAAACATTTTCAGATGCAAGAATAATAGAAGAGATTCAAACGGAGGACGATAGTGAATTGAGAAGAATGGAGGACGATAGTGAATTGAGAAGAATCACGGACGAAGAAATGCCAAGACACATTTCGATAATCATTACGAGAGAATTAACGCCTCAGGTTCTTGCGGAATTTGGAGT